GTGGCGGTATTACAGCGCAGCTCAATTGGTTTCCCCCCTTAGTATCTTTTTTGTTTTTATCACTATACTTCTTTTATTTATTAACCTACTATATATATAGCGAGATAGCCCGGAACGCGCTGCATATTTTGGTATATTTGCATTAAACATCAAATGCAGTTCAAACTGTAAAGGATGTATTAGAAAAAAAGGGACATTTTTTTTCTGTGTACAGGGTATCCATAATGTTGTAACATTTTTTATTTTGCATTTATCTTGGCTTTGGTAAATGATAAAATCTTGAATTTTTTTCTAAAAGATGCGCCGTAAAAAGCTTTATAAAAAGTGTATGATTGAATTTCTTTTTACGTGTTTTAATAGTTTTTCTTATATTCAAAATGAACAATCTACATGACAGCGTCACTTTTCATTATATGAAAAATGTTTGGAAGACGTTTTTGTTTTGCATATATCCCGACTTGAGGAACTAACAGAACACTGAATTTTTTTAGACAGATGTGCCGTCGAAAGCTCTACAAAAGCTGTATGGACCAATTCCGATGGCGAATTAGAATAGTGTCCAAAACATTTTCAATATGATGGAGGGGGACACTGTCATTGTAGGTTGTTCATTTTGAATATAAGAAAAACTATTAAAACACGTAAAAAGAAATTCAATCATACACTTTTTATAAAGCTTTTTACGGCGCATTTTTTAGAAAAAAATTCAAGATTTTATCATTTACCAAAGCCAAGATAAGTGCAAAATAAAAAATGTTACAACATTATGGACAATCGGTTTTGTACAGCGAAAAAAAATGCCGCTTTTTTTCTAATATATCGTTTACAGTTTGGACTGCATCTGATGTTTAATGCAAATATACCAAAATATGCAGCGCGTTCCGGGCTATCTCGCTATATATAGTAGGTTAATAAATAAAAGAAGTATAGTGATAAAAACAAAAAAGATACTAATGGGGGGAAACCAATTGAGCTGCGCTGTAGTGCCATTATGTCCTTGAGATAGTTTATGGCAACAGGGACAATAATTGGAACATTTCACACTCGCATTTAACTAATGTTTCTATTGCTCAATTGTTTCATCGCATATGTGCATTAGATTGGTTTTTCTTTGAACAATATCATGCTCTTGCAGTCCTAGCTACACGCCGGATGAGCTATTTTTATCACTCAATGAGAGTCCATCCGGTGCATTGTGAATATTTCACACTGTGTCTGATTTTACACCCAAAAAGATACATTTCCCCTAAAAATCAATGGAACTTCCGTGTAACAATATTCTAGGTACAACCGTGTGGCCACTGAATGGCTACGGCGGTGTGTTCAATGAGACGATATATCCTACTGGTCTGTTTTTCAATTCAACTGGAAATCAACTCTACATCTTGGACGCGTGGCACTTCCGAGTCTTGAAATGGACCATTGGTACCAGTACAGCGATCGTTGTCGCCGGTGGAAACGGTCCGGGCTCTGCACTCAACCAGATTTATCAACCATTGGGCGGTTTGACAGTGGATACCCTATCGAACATATACATATCGGATAATGGCAACTATCGAATTCAGAAATGGTCGCCAGGCGCTGTGAGTGGGCAAGTTGTAGCAGGCGGGAACGGACAGGGTAGTGGAGCTAATCAGCTATCCTTCCCATACAACATCGTAGTAGACTCACAATTTAATCTTTTTGTGGCTGATAGGAGCAATCATCGGATTCAGGTATGTTGAAATTATGTGTCAATGACTTTTTACGTTGTGATATCCGCAAGCCCAAATCAGAAAGACGGAAGGCAGAGCAGTAGTAAATAGATAACGAAACATTGAGTATATAGCTGCTATGAAGATATTTTTTGTTCAATATGCAATTAATAATTTGAGTTTATATGTGAGCTTTGGCTCTCATTTCTGGCCTACTTCTTCATCATGTTATATTTGTTATTTCGGCCGATGCTACCAAAAGTAAAGGTACCCAGCGCTCACATCTAAACTAAAAACCGCTCCAATCATTTATGAACACATAGATCAGAATAATAATTAGTTCTAGTTTCTGGCACTATCCTTTACTGAAAATGAATAATTTCATTAAAAAATGCGTTTTCAGATGTGGCCACCCGGTTCTTCAAGCGGCATCACGATCGCGTCGAGCGTGAGCTGGATTTATCCGATGGCGCTGGCATTAGATTCTGCCGGCTACATTTATGTCGGCGATGCTTGGCGTATTTTCAAGTGGAGCCCAACAACGCAGACTGTCACGACCATTGTTTCCGACCATGGAAATTCATCCAATCAGCTCTCGATAGTAAACGCACTTGCATTGACCCCCGACAATGTCAATCTGTTCGCTGTAGATCAAGCAAATTTTCGAGTACAAAAATACTCGTTAACAAACAGCTGCATAAGTAAGTTTTCCGCGACACTGCTCAGAGGTTTGCTCTGTCTTGCACGATTCAATTGTATAAAAAATTTGTCACTTATTCACTCTTGCAACCATCATACAGCTCATGTTCGGTTTAGAAAAGCGAAGAAATTCTGCAATAACATGAAAACTGCATTATGATCTATGACATTTACAAATCGAAAGGGTATTATTTCTATGAATAACTCGCCAAGAAAATTAGCAGGCGATCAGCTGTTTTTAACAAAGGAAAACAAAATTGTGAACTTAGATTAATACAACATGCGGCTGATCAGAGAATGATCAAGCTGATCCATTTTAACTGTGCCTATTCTGCTTTTTTGTAGCCGTTTCATCATCAATCACGAGCCCAACTACGACTGTCAGTAGTTCTGGTGAGTAGTAATTACTGTCTAGCTTCTATTAAAAATTGTGGGGCTTTTCAGTTCCCATCAATTCCCAAACCCCTACCACTACATCGAGTAAGTTCGGTATCTTTCTTCATTTTCAACCAATTCTTTTGTCATTTCGCTAATCGTTTCTAGTCACACCTAGTAGCAGCAGCACAACCAATGCAGGTAAGACTCGTACTTCAGTACTTTCTTATCACTTCATATTCTCATCTTCCAGATGTTTCCTCGACCAGTAGACCAATGACGAATGGTAATGAGCTTGCTTGTTTCTCTCACTCTCTCATTCGTGTCATCATTGAAAGTCCAGATAAGTGAGTCCTATTGAAGGGGATTCCAACTCCCTCACCATTTTTAGGATTTCTGAAGATTGATTGAACAGTAAATTCTGAACCGTTGATCCCAATAAACAGCAGTTGACATTAGGTTGAATGATTTCCAGCTGTTTCACGTGAGTGATACTGGTATATTCACGTTTTATGCTGTCTGACGCAATTAGGGAATGTGTTCCTAATAGCACCAGTCGACTACTCTCTTTTCAGACCAGTGATTACTCGCTTATTTTGGAAGGTAGTTATCTGATAATTAAACCACGCGTCACTACTTGATGCAGCATAGCCGAAAATACCTTTCTCAATCTATGTATGTCGGAGTGATCGAAGATCATTGTGACCGTTTTTTTGGCTCTCAGCAAAAAGCTCATAAGCTCTGAATGGAACAATCAATGAGTGCAGACCTCACGTATATCGGGAGTGTCAATTTTCTCTATAAAGTGTCATATACGGATTATAAATGGATTTTTTAAGACTAACAGAACGTCGTTTGCAAGATGTTTTTGAGAATTGCCTAAAGACTGACGGTTGCTTGATCGATGACACTCGGAATCCTCTTTTAAATAGTGTGAATAACACGGCAGAAAAAGCACGAGTTTCTGGACTCTCACGGTCATTTGGAAATGAGAGCACTTTCTAAAGCGACGAAGTTGACTTTTCTCCTTGGTAAATTGCAAGTCCTATTATGGAAAGGGGGTGGGTGTGGGTGAGAATAGTGGCTACATGGAATCAACTTCACCCTAGCTTGCGCGTGGATCCAAAGATAACCAGACAGCCTGCTCTGTCACTGCCAGATAGTGGAGTTCATCGAGATAGCAGAGATTACAAGTTGGCAAAGTGCATTAGTGTTAGTGTTCAAGATAGTAATAACGTACAAAATTACTAGGATAAGGTAGAGAGGGGTCCATAACCTAGCACATGTAGTTTAGACGCGGTATCGATTAAGACCGAATGAATCCTTTTATGTGTCATCATGCGTGCATTTTATGGATGATCCATATTGGTTACGAAAATTCTCATAATTCAAATTTGTTGGTAAAATTCTATGATAATAATCAAGCCCCACAGTTTTCTCAGATTGCATAGTTGTTCGAACTTTCTACTGTTGCATGAGTATCACGCTTTATACAATCTTCATGGCTTACAATAAGATGCATATAAGTCCACATGTGTTTGTCGCTCTTGGAAGATTTATACTGTAATCTATAACGGAAACTGTTGCGTGGAAGGTTCATGTAAAGGCCTCACATGTAAGCCAGGTGATTACGACATTTGCGTGTTCCTTTCTAGGATGGTCAACTACGGGCAACATGAAGAGTGCGCGAGTCTTGCCCACAGCATCCACATTGAAAAATGGAATGGTCTTAGTTGCTGGTGGATACAATCAGAATAGTGGTTTTTTGAGTAGTGCAGAAGTGTATGATCCATCAACAGGACTCTGGACAAATACTGGCAACATGAGTACTGCTCGATCCAGACACACAGCATCCACATTGGCGAACGGAAAAGTCTTAGTTGCTGGTGGATACAATCAGAATAGTGGTTTTTTGAGTAGTGCAGAAGTGTATGATCCATCAACAGGACTCTGGACAAATACTGGCAACATGAGTACTGCTCGATCCGAACACACAGCATCCACATTGGCGAATGGAAAAGTCTTAGTTGTCGGTGGAGAAAATATTGTTGTTTTGAATAGTCACGTATCGTATTCTGCTTATTTCAGTAGTGCAGAAGTGTATGATCCATCAACAGGACTCTGGACAAATACTGGCAACATGAGCACTGGGCGATACCTACACACAGCACCCACATTGGCGAATGGAAAAGTCTTAGTTGCTGGTGGATACAATGGTATTAGTGGTAGTTTGAGTAGTGTAGAAGTGTATAATCCATCAACAGGACTCTGGACAAATACTGGCAACATGAGTACTGCTCGATCCAGACACACAGCATCCACATTGGCGAACGGAAAAGTCTTAGTTGCTGGTGGATTCAGTAATGTTGATCTTTTGAGTAGTGCAGAAGTGTATGATCCATCAACAGGACTCTGGACAAATACTGGGAATATGAGTACTGCACGATGGTATCACACAGCATCCACATTGGCAAATGGAAAAGTCTTAGTTGCTGGTGGAAAAAATATTGTTGTTTCGAGTATTAGCGTGTATGATGTTGTTTTGAATAGTGCAGCAATGTATGATCCATCAACAGGACTCTGGACAAATACTGGCAACATGAATACTACACGATGGGATCACACAGCATCCACATTGGCGAATGGAACAGTTTTAGTTGTTGGTGGACAAAATAGTGGTGGTGTTATTTTGAGTAGTGTCGAACTATATGCATGATCATTATTAGAATGAAATGTTGTTCGTTATACTCAAGCTTAAAATTTCTTTTCATTCCCAAACTATTTACTCTTCAATACTTTGAGAACACTATCATTGTAAGGAGGTGTTACAGTGTGATTCCACAACATGCACCTCGATTTTCTTATTCTTTTCTTCCATTGTTAGACTGATATCACTATGTTATCATATCATTTATTCTATCTTATGACCTTGATTCACCTTTGTTTTCCTCTTTCTTTTGTTCGCGTTGTTCGTATATATATGCACTTCTTTTTCATAAATAAAGGGTCAAAGGAAAAGCGAAAGCCTAACATCATCAGGCTACACGCTAACAGGAGGTCTTCAAAAAATACCTGTACTTTCGATCGAAAGATTTCTTTTTCAGAATCCACAAGTAACGTTCGTCGGCTCGACTCACTTGACCCTCGACTGTTTAAGACAGAAGTATACTGCGCATGTGAGTATCAAAAGAATAGATCTACTAGTCTCGTCACAATAACTGACTCAAACTTAGATTTCTCGAATCGTTAAAATCGAAGAAACTGATCGGGCTCTTTGATAACTAGCCTTGTCCG